GAATGGATTTAAAAAAAATAATTAAATGTACTAAGATTGGGTAAGAAAATATAAAGGGAGGGCAGAGCGTTTATGTTTTACAAATACCTAAAAAAGGAATCAGCCGGAATTGCCGAATGAATCAGCCGGCGACCGACGCAAAGCCGTCTGGTCCGCGTAGGACGTGGGTCCCACTTCCTCCGTTTCATTCTCCAACTTCCACTTTTTTCTCTCTTTCTTATATATATATATATATATATATTTTTTAAAGAAAACAGTAATATAATTAATAATGTCTTAAAATGAGGCGCGTTTGGACTCCGTAGTTTCCTAACGCGTTGAATTTCTCTTCGGTGGCTCAGTTCCCGATTCAACACGTTCGTTTGGATATTTATTTTTTAGTTATTATTATTATTTATATTAAATGCACTTGAGATTTTCTTTACCTAAAAAGAAAATTAATCAAGATTTCATTTAAGTTTTTTTTACAAAAATACTTTGCCTAAAAGCTATAGGCCCCAATATTAATTCGAATACCATGAAAGGTGACAAGTAATTTACCACATGTAGTAAATATTTTCACAAAAAAAAAAAAAGTTTCTAATTCAAATCTTAATAAAAAATTGTCAAATTTTTAAGATTAAACTAAATTGAAATGTGTTTCGTGCTTTAGATAGTAGACGGGAATGATCAGTGTTTTGTATTTTATATTTAATTAACAGGATTGCTTACTACCACTCATCTACTTGTTAACCATATTCATGAATTTTGATCAAATTTTAGTTTAAAAAACACTTCTAATTTTTAAAATTCCACAACGCTTTTTTTATATTTTCAAATTTGTTAATTTAACTTTCAAAGCGCCTTAGAAAACAATGTCTTAAAAATAAAATAAATTCAAGTCATGACTTCAAAATTTTATTTAAAAAATATGTATTTGAGTTAATTAAAAAATAAAAACTAAAAATATTTGGAAAGAGAATAAAATAATAATAATAATAATAATATTGATAAATGGAAGAAATGAAGGTGGAGGAATCGTTCCTCCTTGTGCGTTTACCACCTCCTCTGCTTCAAATCTCTCTCTCATCTATCTCTCTTTCCATCAGAATCAATTTGTCGTCGGTCATCCTCAAAACTCGACGCTCTTCCCATTTGACGAAGACCCATTTCTTCAAATTTTCTCTTTTTTCCTTTTTCTTTCAACTCTCTACTCGTTTCCCTCGCTTCAATTTTCTTGCACACCCAATTCCTCCCATGGACTTCTGTTCTCAGATCCATGGAAACCCCACCTTCATTCCTCTGTAATGTCTATGTTTCTTGCTTCATTTTTGTAGATTTTACTTGCAGATCCATGTGCTAGTGTCCCCAATCGGAGCTCCAACCGACGCCTTTGAGAAATCGCCGCCCTCGATCCAGACCGACAGCCGAAATGAAGGGTTCCAGTCGTTTTTTCACGATCGGGCTTGTGACTTCGTGGTATTCCTCCAACATTGGTGTCCTTTTGTTGAACAAATATTTGCTGAGCAACTATGGGTTCAAGTACCCGATCTTCTTGACCATGTGCCACATGACTGCTTGCTCTCTGCTTAGCTACGTTGCGATTGCTTGGTTGAAGATGGTTCCGATGCAGACGATTCGATCTCGGATTCAATTTATGAAGATTTCGGCGCTTAGCTTTGTGTTCTGTATTTCTGTTGTCTTTGGCAACATTTCTCTTAGGTATTTGCCGGTCTCGTTCAACCAGGCTGTTGGGGCCACCACACCTTTCTTTACGGCGGTGTTTGCTTATCTTATGACGCTGAAGAGGGAAGCTTGGCTCACTTACATTACTCTCGTCCCTGTTGTTACCGGGGTCATTATTGCCAGTGGGGTAAGGAGAACCAACACCTACTTTTTTCCAATCCTAATTGCTGTGATCGTTGAGAAGGTTATTTACTTGATTCCTGTAGTTGCTTGGTAATTCGGATTGAAATGCCACGTGTTTTGGTATTTGCTAATTGTTTGAGCAACTTTTTCAGCGAATTTTGTCATTTTAGTTTTAGTTTCCTTTTTTGCCATGATTGAACAGAATTCGCTTATGTAAGTGCCTGATCTAAGGTCGGAAAGTTCGTAGAATATTTCTGACTAGATGACCAATATGGTTTGAGGCATTGTGATTCTGTTAGATGTTCTTTGGGAGTATTCCCATTGACTAGTACCTTGATGCTTTTTAGAATAAAAATCCTGCAAAAAAAAAACAAGCGTTTTCTTTTTGCTTATTTTCACTTGTGCTCTGTTTTCAAAATGAAATTATTTTCCTTCTTATAACCATGAAATTATGAAGAGTCATTTTAAGTATACATCAACTTCACCTATATAAAACTTGTTCTAGAGTGCATCCCGGACAGCCCACTTAAGTTTTTTTTCTTCACATCTTTTCAAATGTGTAGTTTGTAGATATTTTAAAACTTGTATAAGACTGAGGAAGGCAATCCCATCTCTACTGGCTTGACTGTGGATGGCTTCCAAATATTCCCTGAAAATTTGGAGGCAATTATGACCAACAAAGATCTTTTCTCATATTCTTTCTTTCATTTGGTGTTGGGGGGAGGATGAGTAGAAAATTGAGGTAGACAATAATTGTTGCCCTTGGAAAATTGTTTGTCATAATAAATGCTGTTTCTCTACTTTCCATCTTTGTGTTGCTGATTCTTTGTTGTGTGAATTGACATCAGGGTGAACCGAGTTTCCATCTGTTTGGATTTATAATATGTGTTGCAGCTACGGCTGCAAGGGCACTCAAATCAGTTCTGCAAGGAATTTTGCTTTCTTCTGAAGGGTAAGGGGCTTGTTGTTGTTGTTTACTGGTAACTTAGTCTTCATTTGGAGAATAATGAACAATTTTAATTGATTTTAAACTGCAAATGAGAGCTCCGACACTTATCTTTCTCAGAGAGAAGCTGAATTCCATGAATCTTCTTCTGTACATGGCTCCTATAGCCGTTGTCTTTCTGCTGCCTGCATCACTTTTCATGGAAGAAAATGTGGTCGGTATCACTCTGGCTCTTGCTCGAGATGATAAAAAGATCATCTGGTATCTGCTATTCAACTCTGCGCTTGCGTATTTTGTAAACCTGACCAATTTTTTGGTTACCAAACACACCAGTGCATTGACACTTCAGGTATGCCTACTTTCTTCATTGATGCTTATGTTTGTCCTCTTTTTATAACTACGTTTTGTTTTTCTGTTTCTGTTTGAACGTTCACAAAAATTACTATTAACATGATCATCACACCCTTGGAAGAGTTATATAATCCGTGTTTACTTTCTACAACCCAAGTCTTGGTTTTTATCTTTTCTTTTGAAGCACCCCAACAAATATTTATTTTCGGAGGGTTGAAACATTGGCATAAACAAATTGGTATTGTTATTCAAGGATTTGTTGAAAATTCTAATAATATTTGGCCACGGACTCGCTCCCTTTCTATACATCTCCAAGACCAATGCACAAACACACTTTCATAATGTTGGCTACATATTACTTAAAAAAAAACTACTGCATTCTGTGTCTTTAGTACGAGGAGTTTCTTTGTTGCTTCTGTGCTTAGGAATCATGCATCATCTTCTCTCTTAAAGCCCAAAGTCTGTCAGATAATTCATGAGCTATGGCTTCTTTCAGGTGCTCGGCAATGCCAAGGGTGCTGTTGCTGTGGTGATTTCAATTTTAATCTTCAGAAATCCAGTCTCAGTCACTGGAATGCTTGGTTACGCGCTCACAGTTATTGGGGTTATCCTCTACAGTGAATCCAAGAAAAGAAGCAAATGAAAACAATTTAACTGAAGCGCGTTTTCCTACTTTCGTTTTTTGCATGGTGGCAGCAGTCGTCAAATACTGGAGGCAGCAGGTGTAGACCGGCCTGTTATAACTGCTCTTAACTATATAGCCTTCAAATTCTTTTTCCCCTCGAAAAGCTTTATTAGCTTAGGCATTGGTTTATATTTGTATCATCCTCACAAGATCTGTCACAAAATAGGAATTTAATAAGGAAGAATTATGGGGTAAAGTTTTACTTCTTTAGAAAGGATTAATAGAATTGTTTATTACATAAAGGTCGGCTGTTATAGACACTCCTTGATCATCAATTAAGGGGGAAAAAACAACCTTATCTTTTAACATTTTGGCACACTATTTTGTTAATTCCGAGTTACTCTGAACTTTGTTGGAGGGTAATATTTCTTGTTTGGAAGAAAATATAGAAACAGATAAATTTGTCATTTGAATTTCTCCTTCCATACTCAGGATTTGGATGGAATGGAACCAATCCCGACTCTTCAATCTTCACCACTGATTCAGGGTCAGATTTGACTTTTGGCTTCAGGTCTGCTTGAGGTTTTGCCTTTGTTGTATGCTTGGGAGATGTTTCAGGTCTGCTAATCGCGTCTGCTGCAGCTTCATCTTCTTCGATCTTAGGAGTCAAAGTAGTATCCTATATAACCCATCTCTTCAGTTCTGTGTTCAACCACCATAGGAAGATCTTAAGACAATGCTAATCGTCACCTGGTTTGCTAGAGGGTTGCCTTGTAAGAGTTGAGGTACACCTCATGGCCAAGGTTAAGCTAAAACTGGTCCTTCCACCCCTATTATAACAGCTTCTTCAGGCTGTAACCTTTCAAGAAGCCATTAAAAACTTTTTTTTTATTTAAATTATTAAAAACTTAGCTTATAATTTGCAATTACAATCTCAAAAAATGATGGTTCAATCTCCACCCTACCATTGTTGAACTAAAAATACAAAAAATGAACTATTGGTTTTTACCATTCTTCATGGACCAAGGTAGCCAGGTCCTCCAGTATTCACATTGACGCCCAGAAGAACATGTAAAAGATAGTAATGAAGCCTACGCGATTTGTGTCATTTCCAACTGATATCAAGATGAACGAAAGTGAAACTCTTTTCTAGACCAATTGAAGTACTGGTCAACATAAAACTCAGAATAATTCAGCAGGATACAGAATGACTTCATATCTATCTTGTACTAACCCAAAACTAACAGTTGCAAAATGCTTTCATAAAGTTTAGGCAAATCATTACCACTTTCAAATGCGAAGTTCATGAATGAAGCAAATAAACAATTTGGCTCAGCATGACGAGCTGGAGACTCATGCAAGTTTCTCTTTTGTTTCCCATCACGAAACCGTGAGGAACAAAGTAGAACACACTGGGGAAGGGGGAAAGCAGAGGGAAAATGGACTCAACAAAACCACAAATTGGAAGTTTACAACTCGACCTTTGAAGTGTCTGGATCAGAGGTTGCTACTTGCCGCTTCATCAATGCAGATTTGATCAGATGGTTATAGCTTCCCTTTTCCTTGAAAAGCTGTGAAAAGTGGTGTTTGCAGTACAAAATTCCATCAAGTGCAGCATAGTTTGATGGAGATAAAGAACAGCCACCGTGTGAGCATTTAAAACACGACTTATGATAGGCTTGACTCTCAACTGTCACCTGCATACAAGCAATGCCCGGCAGATAAAATAACAGTAGCACTGATGCATACCAAGTGCCAATACCAGCAAAACTACTTCAAAATTGAGATGGAACCATTTCTACGTCAGCAGGAAATACTTAGATAAAGAAAACTAAGAACATGTAACTTCCACAGTTCCTCAAAGCTTATATATCATCAGTTCACTAATTGTCTCAAACAAGAGCCACATTCAAGCCATTCAGAAAACCAACTCATTTAGATGCAGTAGCTTTAAAGAATATCCCTTTCTTATAGAGGTCGATAAGTAAATGTTGAAACAATGGTATGCAAAACAAATTCAAACGACCGCAAAAAGATAATTCGGTGCAACATATATATACAGACAGTTCAAATAGAGAGTGAAAATTGACTATTGATGTGATTAAGAGGGTTTTAAATATTTGAATATCTTTTTAATGTCTTTTAAACTAACCTTCTCCAGTGGATATGCAGTTTTTCCACATGTAGCACACTTTTCTTGTGTCCCAGAAAACATGCTGGCCGCTTTGCTTGGTGACCTAGTCTGGAACCAACAAGAGGCTACGGTATGAGCAGGCTGTTTATAAATTCAATCACAACTAATTGCAGCATTGGGTTTAAATTTACCAGCTCTGGAGTTGGCTTCTCGGAGGACTTTGCAGCTGTAGAAAAAGAGAAGTACAGAAAATGTTAGTAAAAAGCAATAGCTACAAGATCCATGATGTAGAGTGTCTTCTAAATTCGACCAAGTTTGGAACATACTAGATAGAAAGTTCTTGCTGAAGTTCCCAGCTTCCTTGAAGAGCTGCTCAAAATGAGGCTTACAGTACAGAACACCTTCCATTGAAGAATAATTACTCAGCTGAAGCATTTAACAAATCATTTTAGAAAAGTTCTCACATTCTGACTCAAAAAAGTGCTCCGTAATTATGTACATCGAAGCTTAAGTGATGTACCTTAAGTGTTCCACTGCAGTGGCTACATTTGAAACATGACTTGTGGAAAGCAACCCCATCAGCAGATAACTGATCTACAGGGTACACCGTCTTCTCACAAGCTTTGCATTTCTGTTGGGTGCCAATAAACGACATGGCTAAAAGCCTTAGAGTAGATCTGACTAGTCTCAACCAACCAGAATCTCCTCGAATTCAAAACCACCAAGCTATCCCAATCAAACAAGCTCCCTTCTCCTGATGTCATTTCATCAAACACAACCAATACGCAAAAACCCAGATCAAATTCAGAAGACAAAACAAGAAGCTGCAGGCCAATAATCTGAGAATCTCAGAAAATAAAATCGATGAGCTTAAACTGAAACACTTGAAAATCTAGTGGAGAATAGGATCAAACCAAAAATGCTGAACGAAGAAGATCTTGATCAGAGTTGACATGCAATCGAAATTGAAGATGGGTACCTCCAATGATAGAAGGAACAAAATGCAGAGAATGTGTTTGGTTACAGCAAGTGGAGCGGAGAAGAAAAAGATAATGAAGTGAAAGATAAAGCGAAAGCCAGAAACAAATAATTTATGATAGATTATTCACAGCGTCGATTCTTTATAGAGAGAAAAAAAAAAAAGGAGAAAAAGTGAAAATATCTTTGCCGGAAAGACACACATTGCTTGCTTCAACTTTACTCCGTCCCGATGCTACTTTCTTCTTCAACTTTTTCAGTACTACCGAAACTCCACCGTCGGCATCCTGCAGTGTAACGACGTGTCGTTTTGTCTCTTTGTATTTCTAATTTAGCCTTCACCCTTCTCTCGTCTAGGCATGGATCGTATTTGGATGATTTTGTAAATAAACTCTCAATTAGTTCATAATTTTGGTGACAAACTCTTCAGTTAAACACAAAATTAAATTCAAGAACATATCATACCAATTTAAACACCAAATTTTCAGGATTGTAATTTAAATCGAATAATAATTTTGAGACTAAACATGAAATGAACATAAATCAGACAACTAATAAATAGTCAGTATCTTTATTTCTTTTAATAAAAAAATTAAATATATAGATTTGAATTACTGAATTTAAAAAGGTGATTTTAAGTTGGATTAAACTAAATATGAAAATGAGAAATGTGCACCGGCGAGGATTTTCTGGGGAAGTAGCTCGCTGTGAACAGTTAATTTCAGGCTAGGAGGAGCCGATTCCAACTGGACACAAAGATGTCAGACTCGCTTCAAGTTCTCCGCGATCTCTGCATTCAGTAAGTCCCTCTTGTGCACTTCCTGTCGAACTTCTTGAATGTAATTTGATCTTTTTGGTGATTTTAGGTTTTCGGAACCAATCATCCAATCTCTTTCGAAAATCTGCGATGAACCTTCAGAGGGGTCGAATGTCTCTGTTAAAGCCATTCTCGAATCCCTTCTACCTCGAAAAACCTCACTCCCAATCACTCTTACTGATGAGGATATTTACTCCTCCATCAAAGACTTCGCACTAGCATGTGCTTTAATATTGTCTTCCCGTTCCTCGACCTTTGACCTTTTTTCATGGATCCCGGAAGACCTCTCACTTGCTGCCGAGTCAGCTTTTCGAATGCTCTCTAAGGCATATGTCTCTGCTTTCTGCGATGGGTTTTCGAAGGACATTGAGGAGCTGGGTTTAGATTTTAGTTTGATACCGGAGGAGAAAAGATTGGTGGTGGAAATTATTCCTAAGGTGCTACCGTTGTTGAAGGAGAATATTAAGGAGAGCTCGATAGATAAATCTGACGAGGTTGACGAGGTCTCCGCTGCATCAGCCAGAGTGCCTGTGGGGTTTGCTATTGTTGCGGCTCATCAACTTGCATGGTTCATTACCCAGGTCTGAGGTCTTGTTCTTGTTCAATATACTGCAGTTCTGTCTGTGTTGCCTGGTATTTTGGTTTGATATGGGGTTTGTTTTCCTATTAATTCTTGCAGATTGATTATCCACATTTGGGGAAGTTGTGTAATTTGGTGATTCCTTGTGCACTGACTGCCCTTGATCACTGGTCACCGGAATTGAAAGTAAGCATTCTGATTTCCTGTTTTCAATCTCTGATACTTGCCAACTCTGTTGGATATCATGCTTTTTCATGCTGAAAATGGAACTTAGTATTTTGATTAAAATTTATGCTGTGTGAACGAGAAGCTTAACTCTTGATTTCATTGTTCGCACTTGTTTATGATACTGAATAAAAGGCCTTACTTTCTTTGCCTACTTGCAGGGGCAGGGCATGGTTAGCTTTATACATCTTGCAAAAAATGTCAATGCTGCAGAGCTAGGTTGGTATGAAGATGTGATTCTTGATGCGTGCTGCTCAAATGTCCCTTCAAGTGATGAGATATGGCCTTATGTTGTTGAAATGTCGGTTCTTCTTGTAACTAGCATTCACAAAATGAATCCTCGTAGCTCATGGTAAACTTTTTGTTGTAATGCATTCTCTCTTTTTCAACATTTGGTTATAAGAGGTAACACTGCTAGAATCTTATCTGACCTAACTTGTCCTTGGTTTCTTGTCAAATATATATGCTTTTCCATTTATATACTTGCATAGGATTGAAAGGATGGTTAATGAGATGTTGGGTCACTTGGAGCGACAGCCAAGGAACAAGGAACGCCGTATTGCATGGCTTCAACACATTGAGCCTCTTTTCAACTGTATGGGTCTGGTGCTGCTGGCTCATACAAGGCGCATATTTCCACTTTTCTTCCAGTGGATGAATGCTGAAGATGATGAGACCACTTTACTAGTAAGAGATATATGATTTGTCATTTAAAATATACTGGATAATCCTTTATGATGAATAATACTTCCTGATCACACATATTGAGGGCCATATATTTTTGACAACTAGAAGAGAAGAATGGAGAAGAGGAGTGCGAGAAGAGAGATCTTTATTTTTTTTTATTTCAAAACAATAAATAATTGTTAAATTTTTTATGGTGTTTAGTAGGTAGATAAAATATTATCCATATTATATCTATTCTCTGAATTCTTTAGACGTTAAGATTCTTCTACTTCTGTTAGGAAGAAAACGTTCTTGTTTGAGAATCAGAGGATTTTGAAGTTAACATTCTTGTGTGGATTCCTATAAAAATAAATAAAATAAAAAATCTTGTGTCGACTTCCTGATTCAGTCCTTCAGTTCAAGCATCAAAGGAATACATTTTGTTTAGACTATAACTTCATTTTGAAATGCAAGGGCAGGGACCTTAAATTTCTTACAAATGTTCTCATTAGGAAAGAGCAGTCCAATTTCTCCTTCGACCTTCTTTTTTCTGTATTTTTTCAGGTATTTGGTTGGGATCCATATCGACTATACTTTTAAACGGTAAATATTCAAAGAAACGTAAATGTTTATCTTGAATTTTTGTGAACTCACCTTTTCTCTGTCAGAGAAGAGATTACTTCGTCGACCCCTAAACAGTGTAACTCTCAACTGAAAACTAATTTCCTGATCAAACAAGTTTTCGAGTCTTGACACTGCTCTGCGTTTGAATTCTATAATAAATCTTTTTGTAACATGTCCACTAGTTTTGCTGTGATTATAACAACTTGTCTTGGTGTCGTTTCTTGAAAGTAAGAGCTTTTTGGTTTAATGATGTTTGTCAGCATCTACTTGTAAAAATAAATTATATTTGTGATTTAAGTCCCTCGGCAGTTGGGCTGATGAGCATCGGGGTTTCACACATTGGCAAGAGTTTCACATTGTCCACTTCTGGAGACATCTCTCAAATGTGAACTTGTTGCCCTTTTCTGCCGAACACTATTGCATCAGTTCAGTCTATTTTGTGTGTACTACCTGGATTTATTAATTATACTAATCTTATTACCATTGGGCAGGTTCTACAGAGAATACAAACAGTTGTGAGGTTAACATGGATAAGGAATACGCCATATGTTGAAAGGTTATTTAAGTTTTATGTTTCACGTTTCTTAAATATGATGATATCTCAATTTTTTTCTCGTACAACTTATTTGTCTGCTACATAGTTTGTGTTGGTAATTTTCGCAATTTCATTCCCTTCAGATTCTGTTGTGCTTTCACACTTACTTTCACCCGTTTTCAAGTGCTTAATCAAGCTATCCTAGTTCAAATTAAGCAATTGTTCTGATAGACCAACTCCACCTGCTTGATCCTATAGTGCCAAATGTAATAGGATGAAGCAGTAGTTCTATAGGATTAGTCCCATACCCATGGTTATTTAAGAAGAGAAAATAGGAGAAGATGTGTGTGGGGATATAGGCATATGCCATGGGGACCTCAGTTATTAAAACTAGTTAGCACACAGGAAAGAGACCAGAAAGTGGTAGGGAATAAAGGAAGTCAGATTGTACAGAGCCCCATATCTGAATTCGAAATTGAGTATTGGAAAGGACTGGAGGCCTCCCTCATTTTCTGCTTTCCAATTGTTTGATGAAGTTCAACTTAACCACAGAGTTCTTCCAGGATCATTATACAGTTATTGTCACTTGCATTACTGTTGTGCCATGATATTTAGACGGATTAGTTTCTAGTGTCCATGACTCTCTCCACAAACGAGATATAGCTATCAACAATAATAACAGAACAGTACTAACTTCTCACACCATTTTAATGGCCATCTTCGTATTTGTGCAACTCAAATGGTTGTATATTGGTGGCAGATTGGTGGATGAGCTTGCACTGTTATACGAAAAGGCTGCATCAAGAAGTTCTCGTGATGCAATCAGAAAGCATGTTGTTGATGCACTTATCCTTCTCCAGGAGTAAGAAATTCTTATCATTTCTGCTGTGCTGATTGAATCTTGAGGTTCTGATTTTGGTTATTTTCAGGAGCAAAGGTCAGCAGTTTAAAGCAGCATGGAACAAGCACAAGGATGATCAAAACTTGGTTTGGCTTACTACATCTTTAACTGGAATGAACATCAACAGTTAAGTGTTAGCTTATTAGAGCTAACAATGTAACTGGGAAGTGGAACTCGATAATCTGAAGACTGATTGCAAATTCTTCGCATAAATCCAGAGCTGCTCGATCTGCTTCGCCACCAATTTGTTTGTATATAAACTCGTACAGAGAGAAGACCTGCGGTATTTATTCATTAATTTTAAGCTAAATGTATAAAATTAGTGCTTAAAGTTTGATACTTTGCATTGGGTTATCAACTTTTGAGTTTTGTGTCTACTTTTTCTTTTAACCTTTTAAAAACTCCTATTAGATCCTTCAACCTTCTAAAATTTTAAACTTTTAATTTGAATCTGTTGCTTTGAATTTTTAATTTTGTATATTGAACAATTTTTTTGAATTTTATGTCTAATTTAGAAGACATGTATTAAAAAAGTTGAATATACTAAATTATGTATTTTTTAAATTTTCATTTGGTGTTTGTTCTTTTAAAATTTTCAATTTTCAATATATTAATAATTCTTAAATAGATTATCTCATTGAAAAAATTGTTAATATATATATATATAATTAAGAAGTCATAATTTAATTAGTTAAAATATTATAAAGAACAAAAATATATTAAAATTGAGAATATTAAAAAAAAAACCCCAAATTAATAATAATAAAATTATTTCGGGTTGTAAAAATTATGGGAGGAGTCTGTAAGTTGCAACGGAAATTCCCGCCGAATCTCACTCACTCACAGTAACAGTGAAGCACTGCACACTGCACACTGCACACTGCACACATTCTCCAATCTTTAACTGCCAAACCGCCGCCGAACTGATCTCTTCTCCGGCCATCTTCAGCCATGTTGCCCCGGTCAATATTCCTCACCATTTCCCTCTCTCTCTTCTTTCTCTTACTTCCCCATCCATCTAACTCCCTTACTACCATCGGCGTCACCTTCTCCGCCTCCACTGCCAACTCCAGCCCTCACCCCCAGCCACTCGACTCAGTGGCCAAAGCCATAGGTTCCCTCAAACTCACTGCCGTGAGACTCGAAGATGCCGATCCCAACATAGTCCGAGCCTTCGCCTACACCAACATCACCCTCATCCTCACAGTCCCTAATTTCATGGTCGCCCCCATAGCCTCCAATCGCTCCGTAGCTCTCCAGTGGCTCTACGCCCACGTCATCCCTTTCTACCCTCGGTCGATCATCACCACCATCTCCGTCGGCAACAACTTTCTCGAAGCTTCCCCTGAATTCGCGACGGTTCTTTTGCCCGCAATCAGAAATGTATACACGGCGCTTCGAAATTTGGGGATTCGTCAAATTTCGGTTTCCACTACGTTTTCGTTCATTAGTATAATGGCGAATCCGTTCCCTCCTTCGGCGGCTAGGTTTCAAGATCCCGTTTCCGAAACTGTGATTGGGCCTTTGCTTCAGTTTCTAAGAGACACCAATTCATCGTTCTTGATCAATATTTACCCTTACAATTTGTACCGAATGAACTCCGAAATCCCAATAGGGTATGCTCTGTTTCAGAAGCACCCTTTCAATTTCAGGGATGATGTGACTACCGGTGTCCGGTACCGGAATCTTTTTGACTCCATGGTAGATGCGGTGATTTGTGCAATGGCAGTGGCTGGACATGCGAATATTCCGGTGATTGTGACGGAGACTGGGTGGCCAAGCTTTGGCACGGACTCTGGCGAGGTCGAAGCAAATCAAGCTTACGCCGAAATGTACCTCAAGGGACTGGTTGCACACCTGAAATCAGATTTCGGAACACCATTGAGGAGGGAAGGGGTGACAGAAACTTACATATATCAGCTGTTTGATGGGGAAGAAATTCAGGGAGCTCGACCTGTGCGAAAATGGGGGCTTCTGTATCCCAATATGACTAAGAAGTATGATGTGGTCTTCTCCAAGTCCGCCGGAAATGCAGAGCAACGAGCTTTTCTGACTATTGCAGCCTGGTATTTTGGGATTTTTGTTCTGACGAAGATGTGGTAGCATCTTACATATTTCGTTTTCATAATCTTCATTTAGGTTCTGAATTAGCTTCCGTGCTAATTCCTGGTGAGTTCAACCTGCGTTTTGTGAAGAATTATTCTCTTACTGAGATTGTTGAGCTTTCTGTTGCTGGTTCTTGTTATGGCAGCTTCCCTCCTTAGCAGAGATTGCGTTTATCGTTTGTTTAGATGTTAATGGCTGCAGATTTCCATTTCTGAATTTGTGTTCAGATGGGTTAGAATCTTACATAGAATATCAAATGAAGTTTGATTCTTGTTTTCCTCAGAGATTGCCTCTTCTTGTTTATAGTTTTTGATGAATCATCTGGGTACGTTGTTTGATAATTGGTAGTAAGTTGGCCAACTCATCTTTAACATTGTTATAAAGTATTTCATATGGATTAGGAATAGTAGATGCATATTATTATTTTCCATTCTTGAGAGAAATAGTAGATGAACAGATGCATATTATTGAATTTATAATTGAAAGAAAACAAAAGTGAAACGCAGGTCTTGAGAGAAAGAGCACTCAGGAAAGGAAAAAAACAAAAGGTGTCAAACAAAGGCCTTCAATTTGAATAACAGAAAAGGTCAATCAAAGAAATTGTTGAAATGGTATGAACATGGAGAAGAAGAGGAAAAATTGTAGCAAATAATGTTGTACAGTTGCTGCTGCTGCTGCTGCTGGATGTTGAGCTCAGATGAAGATTCTGTTCGCTGCTGGCGCCTGGACATCGGTGTCAATGCTGAGAAATGTGTTACTTGCAATGTCTCTCCCATCATTGTGATTGAATGGCATGAACATGATATAATCCATAGCAACTTCTCCCACTCTATCAGCTTTCTCTTCAACTATTTTACACAAGATAACTTGTGAGAACCTCAACCAGCTGTAGAGATCACTATCTAAATTTGTGTTTACTCAAATTTTGATGGTTGATGTTGAAACATATGGGGTTTGGAAGCTTATAAATACGAGTTCCTACGGATGGCACTGACAAGGCATCCATGTAGCTGCTCATCACCCCTACAATGTGGAATCCCTCGTTCCGCAGTGCTGCTTGTTGCTGACTGAAATATTCCCCATGACTGATCTGCATTTTGTCATCCATTCTGCAAGATTTTTCTAACAAAATGTTCTTAAATATGCATAATTGCCAGAGGACAGAAGGATTTCAATAACATCCTATCAGAAGGTGTACTACTTTTATTGTAAGGCATCCCAATCAAATGGAAATATAGAAGATACCTCATAATCAAGTGGAGCCAACCATTATAGCCGGCAGAAGTAAGATGTTGAATAGTGGCATTCCTATGAACTTCTGACTTTCTTGATATTAAGGTTACAGGCCATCTGCAAGATCTGAGTTTCTTGTACAGTTTTAGAAGAAAGTTTTGCTTCAATCTCTTCGCCTCATCCACACAACTACTGCACCCATAATTAAATTCATAGTTATCCATGACAGAACACTAAGAAGAACACTACATAGATATCAGGAAACCACCTGGATATTAACAGATCGTCGTAATCATGGTTAGCGAAAAGAAGGTCGTCTGAGTCCATCAGCACGATTTCTCGACGGTTGTCTACTTTGGCAGCACTACAGAAATAATTGTTGACCAGCTGCAGTGTAGAATCCAAATCTCTTTCATATTGACCATGTCTAATGTATTGAATGGCAAAGTCCTTGCAAAATGAAGGTATCCCATCTGTTTCCAAGCTGTTTAGCTCCAAATGCATAGATAGAGCTTTGCAATAGTCATAATCAAAACTTAGTTTCTGAATCTCAACAACTCCTCCACTTCTGTTTTGACAATATTGCAACATTACAGTCAATGAGACCAGTAAAGTGATAAGTAACACTCCGACAGTAACTAGAGCACCAATGAAAATTGCTGCTGTCAAAGGTGTCATGTAGAATCCCGAATCTATGATATAGTTGCTTCCCATATCTGCCTCATTAAAAGGATAACAATAATCACTCTGAGTTGAAATGAATCGAAAAAGTGAAACACCATATACTTTGTGCTTATCAACTCTCTTTCAGTAAACTGATTCATCATCATAAAAGAAGATCATAAGGGAAAGAGAAGGATCAAGGATGTATTGAATTCCACACCTGAATTGTCTGAACTTCCTCCAGTAGAATGACTCGGAGTAGAGAACTGGTGCTCCATTTCATTCCCATAAGCAGACATTGTTCAAACAAATTCCAATTGTTACCACTGTCTCAGAAGAAGAAAAAAATTCAGTCAGAAATCAGTTTCGAAAACCTAGAAAACAAAAATATATTAGGATTCAGAAGCAATTTCTAAGCAAAGGGGAAGTTCCAAGAAAAGTATGAACATCCCTGAATTTTTTATTTCTTCAAATTGCATAAGTCAGCTTTACATTTCTAGATTACTCAGCGGCAGAAACCTCTTCGATCAATCTGTGAAACGAAACCCATCTACGATTAGAGCAGAAGTAAGCAGATAGCAAAGGATTCATGATTGAATATGAACATCAAGCCAATAATTTTGGTCAATAAGCAAACAGATACCAACTTGAACATAATTTTGATGGTGGGTCACAAGCTATCAATTGCTGGGCTAAGAGACGAGTCTTTCTTTTTTATGGGTTTTGTCCCCGAGGTGGAAAAGCTCCAAAAACATGAGAAAAGTAATGCCAAAATGAAAGCGAAAGGGAAATTATATGTCCTGTTTCCGCGGACTGGGTGTCTCTGCAAGATTCCGAGAATGATCAAGAAATCAGGAGAATGGGCATACTGTTTTTCTTCAACCTTCCTGGGTAAGATAAATCAGCAAAAAGCAGGGATAAGATTAAACTACGAAGCTACTTATTATTACTATTATTCGACCATTGCACCCATCAAACTAGGGAAAATTGTACGAATTGCTGTTTGATTCACTTAGGTGAAATTATCGAATTGGAATCTCTACCTCCTTGTACAAATGTATTTTCATCCATTTAAATTATGTTTATGTATATTTAATTAAATTCTTAAATTATTCTTCAAAATTTTTCATTCACTTTTTAATGTAGCTTTAAAACATTGTTATCATACACTTCTATTTTTTTTTTGATGTAGCTTTAAAACATTGTTATCATACACTTCTATTAGTATTCAAATATTGGTTGCGTGAAATTCAATAACGTGAGAGTTGCGTTAGTGAAACTCGAATGAAAGTCAAGAGCCAGTGCCAAGAGGAAGTATTAGTGGCACGGACAATAAACTTGAGCAAGAGTCAAGAACTAGTAGTAGAAACATCTATCGGCAGCACAAGCTAAATAATTTAGCTAGAATCAAAATGAGGAGCGTGAGAGAATGAAACAAAAGCGATGAGAATAACATTTCTCCTGTTGAACTTATTTTATTTAGCTAGAATCAAAATGAGGAGCGTGAGAGAATGAAGCAAGAGCGATGTGAATAACATTTCTCCTATTGAACTTATCTTTTGTACTCTTGTTCAAGGATGGACAGTAAATATTTATTCATTTGATATGGTGGTACGAGATGACAATGAGGAGGTATTATAGCGGAGGTCGATTGAAAGAGATTGTCGCATCACACACGTTGAACGCAGAGTGAACTCCGAGCGAACTGGAAAGGGTTCAGGTCATGTTCAATTTCTCCTTGTTCATGAAGATTATCAAAAGAAACTGTACGATAGATGTTCAATTTCCCCTCACAAATTTCATGCATTTATTAAGTCACACAAATTTTATCTGGAATGTTTCTCAACAAATGTTCTCATTTGTGACACTGAAATTTGTAAATACTTCAAAAATGTTACCTTGTCAAATCAATGCCCTCTTAGAATTTAAAAAGTGCTCTTCTCCGTTCACAAGATTCAAGGCCATGTCTACATCCCTGGCCAGTTCAACCGCTGCTCCAACATAGCTATGAGGAGTTAGAGTCAACAGATTTTTCTTAGCTTCGTTAGGCAATTCCAACCCTTCAATAAATCTCCTTATACTTTCCTTAGTAACTGATTTTCCTCTGGTTAATTCCTTTAGCTTCTCATAAGGCTCCGGAACACCATATCGTCGCATGACCTTCAAGAAATAGAGATTGGATGTTTACACAAATATATGTCAGTAGTTGACAATCAACGTTAACCAAATAGATATCTCTAACTTATCCGATCTGATTACTACCGTGCTAATGAACTGAACAAAGCGATACTCAATGGGGGCGATGTAAGCAAATGACCACCAATCTTAGGAGAGTTTATAAAACATTTGCAGGGGTGGAGAAATGAAAGAAAATGCTTAGCAAGATATATACCGTCTGTATTGGTTCAGCAAGGACCTCCCATGATTGATCCAAATCGTCGAAGATGCGAGTTTCATTCACCTACAATGCAATGATAAAAGTTTAAGAAATGCTGCACATACAATATAAGGACAGGATAAAACACGAGGCAGAAACTCCTTAAAACAAATAAAAGTTAAGCAGAGAAGGAATAGTAGTAGCCCAGTATTTTATAAATCACCCAGAACAAGATGGAGAGGATTATTTGTGCTTTTGAGTAGCCAGTATTTATAAGCCTCTTCATCAAATCTGTAGACGAATTCTTTCATTTGGATAAGTTAATTACAGACTTCAAGTTTCATTCGTACCAATCAATAGATGAAAATTAGGAGTTATCTTAACCACAATCGAGTGTCAAAATTCTATTGAATCTCTATCTCTCTCTCATTAATGTTGCACGTTCATCACTATTTTTTTTTTTCCCCTCATTAACTTTGTTCTCCTATTACCCACCAGCAAACTTGAGTGGTCATGAATGATAACCCACCCAAAAAGAGGAAGATGCCTCTTTACATGCCATCAGACAGAACTCGGATCTTTCACAAAAAGAAGGATGATTAATGATTATGATGATCTGAGTACCTGGAGCTTCGCTATCCCCTGAAGTGTGCTTTTGTAGGCAAGAAGAGAGTGTCCAAGTCCAACTCCCATATTCCTTAAAACAGTTGAATCAGTCAAGTCACGCTGCAAAAGAGAATAAGCCTTCTCATCAAAATCCTCCAAGTTAAATATAATCACTGAAGTAACCTACATGAAATGTAAACTTCGATGATTTGGTGTAAGATGTTCCATTGAGACTAACGAATACAGTTTTACATTATGAAATAGATTTTTGTGTTATTTAGCGAGTTGTATGAAAAATAAAATACTTTGGCCCAAAAACTTTAGAAATCATGATTATGTAAACATTATAGCCTACAATCACATTGTCACATCTCACACATCAATTACCAAGTACCAACTCAAAGAATTGAAGAAATTATCAAATGTTGAGGTGTACCTGCCACCGAGATATGGGTAACTTCTCACTTAATTGGGCCAATGCTCCATTAGCCACACCAAGATTACCTTCGCTATTTTCAAAATCAATAGGATTTACTTTGTGAGGCATTGTTGAAGAACCAATTTCACCTGCCTTTGTTATCTGCCCAAAATAGTAAACAATCATATAATCTATCTTTTCTTTCATAAATAATAATGATGAGATACACTAAAATGCTCACCTGTTTAAAATAGCCCAAAGATATATAACCCCAAATATCTCTGTCGAAATCAATCAAGATATTATTGTATCGCACAATGGTAAAAAAGAGTTTTGCCATGTAGTCATGAGTTTCAATCTGAAAACAAGTAGAATTATACAGTTAGCAAATTAGGATAATAATCAAATCATTCTATTTGTGATTCTGAAAGCTTATTCATCTAACGTCCAATATATGTCTCTAAGATACCTTGGAAGACAAGCATCACACCCTTGTATACTACAACCAATTTACATGCTTATCCTTCAAAGTCGAGGAAAACTCACAAACAACATCCTATATTAGCTAATATACATTTAGCCACGAAGGAAGTGCAAAGAATGAAACATCAAAGGAAAAACAGTACATTAAATTACAATAAATAGTTGGATAAATGCCCAAACTTGGGCAAATTAATAATCTAAACAAAAATTTTCATCGAAAGTAAGTCAAATACCAATATAAAAACAATACCTGAGTTACGTAGGGATTGAAACTCAAACCCAAGGAGTTAACAAACTCTTCAGCCACTTTAGGCCAGTTAACATTTGGATATGCCACAAGATGTGCATTATAATTTCCAACTGCACCAGCAAACTTTCCCATTATCTTGACCTTCGAAACTTCCAACCTTTCTCTACTTAGTCTGACTGCAAAAATTGCCATTTCCTTCCCCAGGGTTGAAGGTGATGCTGGCTACAAAATAAGAAAAAGAAAAGAAAAAAAAGGTTTTTCTCATAAGAATAAAACAAAATTTTAAGTCACTGAAAATCAACACTAAGAAAGACACAAGCACCAAACCACAAAACAGTTCAGGGTCTAAACAGTCAAAAAGACAAATTCATCATATATCTTGTCAGCCTAAAACCTGTCCATGGGTGCGGCAAAGCATTGGAATGTGAGCGTTATCTTTAGCCATGGTGCTTATTGAATTTATCAGCTTGTCCATAGAAGGAAGCATAACATCTTCCAATGATTCTTTCAGCATGAGTGCATGGGCAAGATTGTTAATGTCCTCGGATGTGGAAGAGAAATGAAAAAACTCAAGCACCTGAAATGCAAAAGAGAATAGTTAAATGATCCTTTAGTGTTCTACTAACATATAAAAGAAAAACAATTTTTTAACAAACGGGAAAGTGCAAGGTAAATTCCACCTTAGAAATCTCAGGATGTGATTGACACCTCTGTTTTAAGAAATATTCAACAGCTTTCACATCGTGATTCGTCACTTTCTCAATGTTTTTGATCTCCAAAGCATCATCCTCACAGAAATTGTCAATAAGTCCTTGTAAAAAAGAAGAAGCATCTTCACTGAATCTTGGGACTTCTATGATTTCAGGTATTTCCGATAGCTTCAACAGCCATTTGATCTAAAGGAGAGTAGAATATAATCAAAATAAAACTGAAACTTTAAGAAACACAAACACCTTTTCTTCGCTGCAAGGAGAGGATCAAATTTATATAAGAACTAGAATTTACTTGATCAAACAACCAAATTCAAATAAGTACCTCAACCAGAACCCTGAAGAAGATTAACCCATATTCGCTCAGATAAGGGGCCAAGTCCTTGACCTTACCCCAATAACGACCATCTAAGGGGGATAGAGCCACCAAACTTGAAAGCTCGTGTGCAACACTGATTTTCTTCTGAGTAAAAGAAAAATAAAACAAAATCACAAACCAACATAAAAGAAACAGAAAAAATTCATCTATCGTCCAAACATCCAAAGAAAAAGAACTAAAACACAACCCTAAAATCAATAAAAACCATAAAGTTCAGCTTAATGAGCAAAGAACGACAACCTTTTCCATCGGTACTTGGAGATTGTTGTGAACGGCTTTGAAATCGAAATTTCGGTGGGGCTTATAGAAGGAACCATGTCGAAAAACGCTCGAGGGTTCTTTAGGATTTTGAAAACCCTTTGCTGCGCAAAAGATTCGGGGCTGGCCCAAAACTCTACTGTATGCTCCGACCTCCATGGACGTAGAAGAGTAGTGAGCTAAAACCCTTAATTCTCCCCGCCTTTTTTCACCCGTGGGTCGACCCTTCCTCACCCTTCAGGAGAAGGCGAACAAAATGGACCTGCGCACGTGTGCAGCCACGTGATTGTTTTGTTTTTTTCTTTTCTTTTCTTTTCTCAATTTGTTGGTTTTCTAATTGGCAACGGTTCGGTTTTCTGAGTTTCCACGTGATTGTTTTGTTTTTTTCTTTTCATTTCTCAATTTGTTTGTTTTCCAATGGGTTAAACAACGGTTCGGTTTTCTGAGTTTTTTTTTTTTTTGCCTGAACCAAGAACCAAGCCCAAGCCCTCATTTTTTCGGATTGGAATATCTAGTAAATTTATAATTTTTTTTTTTGTAACAATGGAATAATTTTCTTAAATTCATGGGCACAAAATTAAATTTTATGTTTAATAAATTTATAATTTAATCTATTATTATAAATACACAAAACGTGTGTAGAGTAAAAGATGGTATGAATATTTATTATGGTCGGTGGTGTTAATCCATATTAGTATCTCAATTGTGAAAGGTTAACATGGTTAGAGTATTCCAAACTTTGAATTATTTATATTGTCAATGGAATCTATATAAATTGTATTCGTGTTCTGTGTTGTCACGTTACATTTACTTCCTAGTAGTTCATCCAATCTTGAGAAATAATTGTCAACAAAACAACGTAAATTACTTAGATTCGAATTTAATTTATGAAAATCCCCTCGTCAGACAGCCGCAAGTGAAAATTTCGGCGCGGCTGTAAGAAAAGGGAGTGCCGCACCGTGCCCATCGCAATCCAAACGTTGAACTCTACGAAAAAAATTCAAAGACAATTGACGAGTGACGGACCATATCTGATTTCAGGACAATCAGAGAGCCACAAATGAACGAGTGATCCAAATTAGCTTCATCCCATGTCCATCCATTACTTGATCAACCTTTCAAGTAACCATAACCCACGCGGCATAAACTCTATCACCGCCTTATCCACTCCCTTCCCTGCAACTCTGCACCTCCCTTTCCACCTTCCATGTCCAATTAGCAGCAGCAGCAGGTTGAGAGAATCACAGTCCTCTACTTGGGTCGCCTATGGAGACTGGAATTGCTTGCTGCGCCCGCGGGGCTCTTCGTCCCAATCTTTCTTCTAACCATTCAACTGCTCTCCTGTCTCCTTCTTTCGCCTCCAAGGTATGTACAAACCAAACCCATCTCTCTGTTTTACAAGATTTTGGAAATGTGTGGCTGAAGTTTGATCAAATTGCATTATAGAGTCTGAAAGCGAGCTCCCTATTTGGGGAGTCATTAAGGCAAGTTCCCAAGTCATCAGTGAAGCTGGTGGCATCAAGGTCAAAGACCATTCCCCTCAAAACCAGATGTGAGATTGGGGATAGTTTGGTGAGTGTTTTTGTGTGATATTGCCTGCAAGGTGTTCGTGAAATTGCTTGTTTGAAATTGAAAAGGATTTTGTGATATTAGGAAGAGTTTCTCACCAAAGCAACCCCTGATAAGGGATTGATCAGACTGCTGACATGCATGGGAGAAGCTTTGAGGACCATTTCCTTCAAAGTCAGGACGGCTTCTTGTGGAGGAACTGCATGTGTCAACTCCTTTGGAGACGAACAGCTTGCTGTCGATATGCTTGCTGACAAGCTTCTATTCGAGGTCGGCCTTCGATTAGTCTTGAATGATATTTTCTAATGAACTGTGGAACAAAAAATGTAGCTGATTTATGTTGAATCAGCACATGTTTGCATATAGAGTTTTGATTCGGATAACGGTATCTAAGGAGATCGTTCTAACAACTATAGTTTATCTGAATCTATTTCTCAAAACCTGCTCTTAAGATAGTGTACTAATTTTGGTTTTTGATGAATAGGCCTTGAGATACTCACACTTCTGCAAATATGCTTGCTCTGAAGAAGTGCCAGAGCTTCAAGACATGGGAGGCCCTGTTGAAGGTCACACTTTTCAAATTATAAGCAAACAACTCGATGGTAATTCTTTGATTGCTAACACATTTTATTAAAATATAAGCAGGTGGATTCAGTGTTGCATTCGACCCGCTGGATGGTTCAAGTATTGTGGACACAAACTTCAGTGTCGGCACCATCTTTGGAGTGTGGCCAGGTGATAAGTTGACTGGAGTGAAGGGAAGTGATCAAGCCGCCGCTGCCATGGGAGTTTACGGTCCCCGCACGACATATGTTCTTGCTCTGAAAGACTTCCCTGGCACTCATGAGTTCCTTCTTCTTGACGAAGGTCACTCTTGACAACTAAACTGAATTAAGAGCTTTTTCTTATTGTGAAAATGGCTGGAGGTTCTCAATCCAAAACCTTATTTCTTTGCTTTACTGATAGGAAAATGGCAACATGTTAAAGAGACAACAGAGATTGGTGAAGGAAAACTGTTCTCTCCTGGAAATTTGAGGGCCACATTTGATAATCCTGACTATGACAAGGTTTCTTTCTATTCTTGAGAAGAGTATTAGCATTCCTTTTCATATATCTCATCACAGTAAAACGTAAAGCCTTCGCTTACTACTTTTTTGTGTGTTTCAATTCAACAGCTGATCAACTACTATGTGAAGGAAAAGTACACATTGAGATACACCGGTGGAATGGTTCCTGATGTCAACCAGGTTTATTACCTTTCTGATAAATTTTCAATGGAATTGGTTCATTAAAATGATTGAAAAGTAGGAATACCTTTCTGAAAATATGGTTTTGTTTAAATCCATAGATTATTGTGAAAGAGAAGGGGATTTTCACAAACGTGACATCTCCCTCAACCAAAGCTAAGCTGAGGCTGTTATTTGAGGTAGCTCCCTTAGGATTCTTAGTGGAGAAAGCAGGAGGTTACAGCAGCGATGGCCGTCAGTCTGTGCTTGACAAGGTGATCGAGAATCTCGATGAAAGAACCCAAGTTGCTTATGGATCTAAAGAAGAGATCATTCGTTTTGAAGAAACTCTCTATGGATCGTCCAGGCTTAACTCAGGGGTGCCTGTTGGTGCTGCAGCTTAAGCAGTGAAACAACATTTCCCCCCATTTTTTTCTTACCTTTGCTTGTTCTAAACATAATTTCATCTGTCAGTAGAAGCTTGTATGACTTGTATGATAGAAATGAATATGTTCAAGCTATTTTGAAACTTTGCACCATAAAATTTTCTTATAAACACCAACCAATAATGAAGCATGGTGAGATTTGTGGCTGTCATACCCCTCAAGGAACGTAAATTTGATAAAGAACAGAATCTTTTGGCTCTTTCTGCAAATACAAAAGTATTGTAAATCTCAAAGATGGTGACCTTGGATTTATCTCCTGTAAGGCTCCTGCCTCTCTTGTTCAATTACCTGCCAAAATTAGCTTTATGCTTTCTATGATTTGTACCAAGAAATTATAGTTTCTGATGAGCTTCTCTATAACATTTCTGCTTGTCCATGATCGATTTGCTATCTGAGATAATTTGGAGGACAAGCACAGGCATGAACATGGTGAGTTGAAAACTTCTTTGTTTATATTTTCCCCTTGAAACTTTGGTTTTGGGTTTGTTTGTATTTTGCAAGTGCTGCTGATGCAGGCATATCAGGGAAAGAATGGGAAATGGGAAGGATCAGTAGGGGGTTTAGTTGATGCTCCTGTGGACAAAGTATGGCCCTTGGTCACTCAATCCAAAAGGCTGCCGGAGTGGATGCCAATGGTCGAGAGATGCACCGACATAACCAGAGACGAAGGCATCCCAGGCTACGTACGGGTCGTGTCGGGTTTCATGTTCCCGCAGAAAGACGGAGAAAGATCATGGATCAAAGAGAAGTTGCTTTCCATGGACTCATCAGCTCATAGTTACAGTTACAAAATGGAAGCAAGCAATGTGGGATTAGATGGATCCATCAATACATTAAAGCTTGTGGACTATGGAGAAGATTCAACATTGATTGAATGGAAGTTTGAGATAAATCCTTTGGAAGGTGTTTGTGAAGAGAGCATCATTGATTATCTGGGATTTCTCTACAAATCTTGCATCAACAGAATTGAAGGTGCGATTGAAGTAGCTGCACATTCTAAAAAAGTTTGATATCAACTTTGCTTTGTGATGACTTATGAATGCATTTTAAAAACAATGCTGGATAGCATTTTAGCCTTGATTGATACCTCATTCATATATTCTACACATTTTTAAATTTTATAATTTAAATAAACAAAATTTTAAAACTTCAAACCCATATTGAACTGTTTTTAAATTTGATGAATCAAATAACACAAATTTCAAAGTATCGATTTAGTTCTTATACTTTTGATTTTATAACAATTTAATCTCTTTAACTTTAAATATAACACTTCCGCCTCTCTACATTAAAAAATTGTGTCTAGATTTAATGAAACTTTAACGTATACACACTAAATATTGTTTATAAATCATTTACTAAGAAAAATTAACACTTATGTTTAAAATAACAGTAAATAAAAAAGATAAAATAAAACAAAAACAAATTATAACCGTAAATAAAAAAGATAAAATAAAACAAAATAACCGTAAATAAAAAAGATAAAATAAAACAAAAACAAATTAAAAAAGATAAAATAAAACAAAATAACCGTAAATAAAAAAGATAAAATAAAACAAAAACAAATTGAACGCGCCAGGTAGGGGTCGAACCTACGACTTTCTGCTTAGGAAACAGACGCTCTATCCACTGAGCTACAGGCGCCTTTGTGTTTAATAAGTGACATTTTAAAAGTCATAATCTAAACAATTGTATTTAAAAACTCATAATTTTAAGTTTAATGATGTATTAAATACTCTTTAAAATCTACGCCCCAAATACACACAATTGTTTAGTCTTTATAATTTTTTTTTGGGTTAAAAAAGTAACCTACGTCACTAATAATAAAACTGTAATTGCACGAACATCATGGCAATGTAAGCGAAAACTATCTAAAATTTCATTTTAACTTAAAAATTATCGTGATTAATATTCTAAAAATTCATGGTATTCTCAGCAGACGTTGTCAATCGTACATAGGTCATTTACCTTAATTTAGAAAAAATGATAAACATAGGATGAGTATTAAAAATACTTAGCAAGTGACAAACGGTTAGAGTCAAAAAAATGCATTTACACATAATATGTATCATGACCAATGAGACCTAAATTTCATGATTGTTCCTCCGGCTCTATTTTTTTCACGTAGAGTTAGACGCATAATATTTCTCCACACACAATGCACGAACATGCACATGAATCCACTAGACAGACTAACTAACGTACTTTCTAGGTTTGACTATAGACTAGCGCATACTCACATTGCCGAAAACTAATGAAAATGAAAGGAACACAAATAATATTATTGTGTACATGTTTGTACACAACATATTAGAGAAGTAATCCACGATCATATGACATATAACATGCATAAAGTCTCCCATTAAAATCATGATTTAGTGAGGTGATGCACCTAATACTTTCTTAATTATCATGACTTAACTTCCGCTGATGTACACCTAATACTTTCTTAATTATCATGACTTAACTTCCGCTGATGTACATACATATTCATGGTTATCATACATGATATACATCATGGTGTCTCGCAAAACATAAACATGATCATATCAACGTAGCATCGTAATCAAACATAAAAGAAGTTACATCACATAATTCATTCATTGATGAAAAGAAAAGTACCACACTAGGTAAGGGTCGAACAGACGCTCTATCCACTGAGCTACAAGTGCTGAATACTTTAAACTTGATAGATGAATTTTAAATTATATACCAAATAGATATAAATATTTTTTAATTTTGTAATAATTTAATTTCTATATAAATATGTAACGATTTCGTCCATGAAACTTAATTATCACTAATAAAAAACTTAAGGTAAAGACATAATATATTTAAATACCAAGAACATTAAGTGATTACTAATAAAAATAATTTTGATAAAGATTTTCACCCTATAAATATTAGATTGTTATAAAACTTTCATTAAAGGCTTTGAGATTGATCACGAATTATATTTTATAATTTTGGAGGTCAAGAAATAATAGTTCTCATTCCTAATACCAAAATATAAGTGAGAGATGGGTGTGTATAGGTCGAGCCAATATTTTTTCCAAAATTCCAATTCCATAATCAAATTCAACTTTATTTTTAAAAAAAAAAAATTATCCATTAAAGAAAAACAAAGCTAAACATCAATTCATTTATTTTCTACAAATCCTTGGGATATAGAAAAATGTTTTAAAGAAACAAATAAGTAAATGAAATATGAAAGTAAAGCTATTTTGTTCGTCAAATAAACATGTAAATAAATGAGATATCGTAATTTTAAAATAAAACGTAAGTATAACAGAGAAAACGCGCCAGGTAGGGGTCGAACCTACGACTTTCTGCTTAGGAAACAGACGCTCTATCCACTGAGCTACAGGCGCTTTTCGTTTACCTAGTGAATAGGTAATATTGATATTTTCTATTTTTTTTATCAATATATGAAGATATGAGAGCGCGCTAGTCTTACATTTAATTACCAAGTTGGTCCATTTCCCCTCGAAAATATCATGGTCCTTCTATTTAATTATTTTTATTTTTGTCGTTATTATGTCTGGAGTGATATACAAATATGAAATGATTTATTTTGAAAATGTAAATTAATATACCAACTACAACATATATGTTATTGAAACAAGACAACACGCATTAGGTATAGGGCAGGTATTGAGTTGTACATGTGGCGTTGATTGTTTCTTAAAAAAAAAAAAATATCTAATGTAATAAAATAAGTTTAATGTTTGTACTCGTATAATTTATGCAAAAATATATATCTATATAAAAGAGATCTCGCCTCTTTTATCTACTCGTTTAAAATATATCTTCTTCAAAATTTTCTTGGTGTTCAAAGAAATAATAGTAATACTCAAACCCATAAATATAGGTGGCTGTCTATTTTCACCAAAGGTAGAATATAAACATTTATAATAAATGATGGTTAGAACCTCTACTTCCATAATACTAGAGCCTCAAGATCAAACCCTTATGCTTCTTTTATGGTATTTGTGGATCTCTCGTTTGTATGCGAATATTGTTCTCGATTTTAAGCGAATACTTGTTTCTTAATCTTCTTGTTAGATATCGTAGATCTATCTCTATCGTATCTATAGTATAGATTCTAGTCTTGACTTGAGCAGTTTTTGGAGGCTCCTTGGCCCACAAAATAAAACTCGTGTTCTTCAATCTGCACCACTGTTCCCAAATTTGCACCATGAGAGCAAAACAGAAGTTGTTTTAGCTCACCTTTCGGCTCCCAACTTGGCTTCTCCCCTACAAAAAGGCAAAGCAAATGAACAGTAACCGAATTATTTCCCGCCTTTTCATCACCCCCTTTCGATATTCTCGAATCCCTTCGTCATCTTCTTCCACTCTTTCGGCCACTGCATTTTTGTATTCACTTTCTTGCTCTCAATTTGGTTGGTGGGTTTCAATCTCTGAGTTGAAATCACCCCCAATGCACTCTTGATTTCCACTGAACAAACCAGGGGAAAACAAAAGGATTAGTTTTCTCTCCATAATTCTTTTCGATTCCCAAAAGTCGGTTGCTCTCCTTTTTTAAGATTCTTTACCCATTTGTGAAAGCAAATTCTTGATTCCCTCGTAATGATTCCGATTTAAACGCACCCTTTTGAAAATCATCCAAAAAGCTTCAATGTCTCTTGGACTCTACCCTCTGTATTCCTCCTATTCTCCCCCTTCCCCTTTATTTTTAACTTCCATCAAAACCCTTTTTCGAAATGGACTACTTATAAATCAGCTTCTGAGCTGCACGCCTCACCAAAATTAGCTCCTCACTGCCACAGCAATGAAAACTCTGTATCCATCTTCACACCTTTCCAGCTCTGCCTGGTTCCTGCTTCATAATCCAACCACAAAGTGGACTAAGGAAGAGAACAAGAGGTTTGAGAGTGCCCTCGCTATATTTGATAAGGAAACGCCCGACCGATGGTTCAAAGTGGCCGCTATGATTCCTGGAAAGACCGTGGATGATGTGATTAAGCAATATAGGGAGCTTGAAGAAGATGTTTATGAAATAGAAGCTGGGAGATTCCCAATCCCAGGTTATGATCTCGCCTCTTCTTTTTCGTTTCAGTTCGTTGATGGTCGAAGGAAATCTTCGGTTGGTAGGGGCTCTGATCATGAAAGGAAGAAGGGGGTTCCTTGGACAGAGGAAGAACACATGTGAGTTTTCATTTGGGGACCTTTTCTGATATCATACTTTACTGTTTGGATTAAGTTTTGGTTGATGGGTATGTTTAGTTTTGTGTAGTGAAGCTTTTAAGCTAAAACCTTTCCACCTGTTCTGTTGTTTTATTGTCGTGTTGGTTGATGTCTAGGGTGGTATTGAATTGAATTGAAATGAAATTTATGTATAGGAAATTTCTGAGGGGACTATTGAAGTATGGAAAAGGGGATTGGAGAAACATCTCAAGAAACTTTGTGAACTCCAAGACTCCTACTCAAGTGGCAAGCCATGCCCAAAAGTACTTCATGAGGCAGCTTTCAGGGGGGAAAGACAAAAGAAGGCCAAGCATCCATGACATCACTACTCTCAACCTCACAGACGCCACAGCATCAGAGAATCAGAACTTGTCTTCTTCAATGGATCAGCTTTCCAACCTTCCTTCACTGCAGAGGTCACCCTGCTACCAAAACCTTCTGTTCGATTGGAACCAATCGACCGACACGGAGCTGCTCGGTTTAGGACCTAACTATGGCGATCCTCTCGTGTCGTTCTCATCTGGGATTGCTGCAAATGGAATAAAGAATGAGCAAGATCGAGAACTGAGCAGTGCATATTATGGAACTTACTCCAACCCTCACAAATCCATATTTCAATTTGAATCCTCAAGACGTCAAGTTTATGGATGAGGAGGATGGATGTTGGTGTACATTGCTGGGTTGTTTAAAACGCCAAGGCGAATAAGGTTCAATAGACACTCTTGAATGGCAATACTTTTTACTTAGTGATGTTGTGTTTATGAATACCTGTTCTTGATCATCAAAGACATGTGTGCCATATGAAATGAAAAGGAAAAAAAAGAAAAAGAAAACTTGCATTTGTCCTTGGATTTGCTGGAAAACTCTTCCTGATTAAAACTCAAAACACTTTTACAACCATAGATTACATCAACTATACGACGATCGCAAAATCCCTCCCGAACACGACATTGTTTGTTGACGATTTGGGTTATGCATTAGTCTTGGTTGATGCTCAGTTGATGATGATGCAGACTGCATCATAAACTGCTGGGTTGAGATCTGCAGAAAGAGAGTGATGATGAGTTTGAAGAACGTTGATGAGTTGATATTTGATTTAATTGCAGTTTTTACTTTAGGTGCATACCAGAGGCCATGTCAGGAAGTGATGTGGCTAAACTTGCTGACTCATGAACCACTTTTGACATTCCACAGAGGAGCAGCCATTTTTGTTTGCTTCTTAAAATCTTTATATATATGTATGTATGGGCAAGTTGACTGAGGCTGATCAAATCACTTAGTTGGAGCTGAGTTTGAACCCACTTGATGTTAGGGCATAATAGGCTGCATTGTGGCCACCAATCATATTATAAGTTTATTCCATTATGAATAAGCCTTCCAAGTTCGTTCATAAAATATCTCATACGTCTTCCAATCTATAATTTTGTTCCAACTTATGGTTCAACTTGCCAAGCTGCCCTCCCACAAAAGATATCCCACAAAAGATACCATTGATAGTTTAATAGCGGTTTACCACAAATCTTGATTATACCTCCGCCTTCAAGACTCACAACTTTTTTATTTGAGGCTCACAACTTCTTTATTTGACACATGAAAATTTTATTGACATGACTCTCTTATTTAACAACAACGAACCTCTATAATCATATTATATTGTTACTTTAAGAATAAACTCTCGTGGTCTTGTTTTTGGGTTTTTCAGAAGTTCTCGTATCAATAAAGATAGTGTCTCCCACTTATATCTCTGGACCTCTTAATCAACGAAAGTGGGACTCCAACACTTAACGTTGTTATTTATTTATTTATTTATTTTACTATGTCAATAACACCCTAAACCTGATTTAAATCTAATGTCTCTAAAAAATAAAAAATAAAACTATTAAATGCAAAAGAAACCATACAATATTGATTATGAAATGCAAGAGGGGGGATAAAGATGAAACACTATATGATAAAGAAACTTAGAGCAAATCCACAAAATGTCAAATGAAATAAAGTAATCATACAATATTAATTATAATATATGGTGTTTAATTTGATGCTTACAAAAGCTTTTGGGCCCATATGTCACACCATTGAACATTTTGTTTTATTTTTCAACCACATACAAAGCATTTCTTTTTTTTTTTTCTTTTTGTTCCTCCAAAGTTGAATGAGCAGCATGAATATTCTTTTTTACTTTTTGGGTGGTAAATGAAATAATTATCAACTTTTAAATTCCTTGGCCTTTTTCTTATTGTATTATTATTTTTGTTTGATTTCTAGGTGATTAGATACCAAATGATCTTGATTCTTATAAGATAAGGTGAGTTTTGAAGATAAATATTCATCTTTGGAGGTTGAAATTAAGTCCAACCGAATTAATCATTTAGGTAACGTAATACAACAATTGTAATTAATTATATTGCATTCATGAAAAAAAATTATTATGAAACCATGGGATTGTGGCAAAAATATTAGAAGATAGGACAATTTTGTATCATAAAGGTTTATAATATACCAAAATAATTATAAATAAAAAATTAATTCCACTTTCATATGATTTATCATCCACTTTCTAGACTCTTCAAGATTGTTCAATTTTAAATAATAATTAAGAGAGTATAGATCAGTGTAGAAAAAGCAAAGGCTAGAATAGGTATATCTGATAAAGTTTAGAGAAATAGTAAAAGGTGGGAACTTAACTATTTTTTGTGAATAATTTAGAAATTTTTTTTTTAATATTCTTAAAAAAAAAATGTTGCCGACAGCTTGTGTCAAAATAATGGAATTTAAATATTTGTGACAGTAATGTCGAACCCGTTTTTTTTATATAAAAAAAGAGACCCCTTGGCTCAATCCTCCCCTTAAAGGCTACTTCCTGTGAGTGTGACAATGATCCTGAATCAATGAGAAACACTTGGTAGCCTTCCATTAAAGAACATGAAATTTGTATGAGCGAAGCTGCCTGTGCTGCTAATGGTATAAACTTCAGCGAAACACTTTCAATTTGTAACTCCCACATGATATGGAAAGTGTTTGAAGACTGTGAAGGTAAAAGGCTCTTTCATTTATTCACAACTGATACAACAAACCATTCTCCAACTAACTTTTTTAGGAAGGATTCTTCTTCTTCGAAATGGGCGAAAGGAAAAGGGAAAAGTCTTTGCATAAACTGTTTTAAGAACAAAAAACACAGCCTTATTATTACAACACTAAAACCGTCTCTCTGTCTTCTCTTTCTGCTGTCTGTCTGTCTTTCTTTCTTGCCAATATAATACAACCCACAACAAAATGACATTACAAACACATTCCTAACCGCAATTTGTAACCTTGAATTCTATTAACAGGACGTGGAAAAATGAAGAAAGGAGAGATTGTCGTTGTCGATGTTGATGTTGATGTTGACGTTGTTGTTGTTGTTGTATGTACAACAGCCCATATGCTCTACGCAGCGATTAAGGACGACGAATCCAACGGCACAACGCTGTCTGGAAAATCAGTTCTTGGTCCTGCTAGGGAATAGTATGCAAGTATATGTGCAGGGTGATCAGCAAGCACCGTATCCCCAACTTCATCGAACACCGCAACTTTTCTCGAGGGAATCAATTCGATGTTCCAGAACGGGCGTGCCATTGTCAGAAGATCGCGGCCTGAGGAGGACCTTCTGTAGCCTTGAACCCACAGATACCTGAGGGAAGTGAGTTGCATGACGGAGGCTGCCAATGCATGCTCGCTAAAGCAACACCCTCTCATCTCAAGCTTCTGCAGGCTGGGGCAGCCGCGAGAGAATTCTAACAGCCCAGCATCAGACTCCCCCACATAACCAAGAAGCATCCATCTCACATTTGGGCTGTTCCTCCCTATGTAACCAAGACCAACGTCCGTCAATCCACCTTGCCGAAGATACAAAGCAAATCTTTTCAGCTTCTTAGAACACCCTCTCAACAGAGCTAGAACTCCATTGTCAAGTGGCAGATCCGTTATGCTCACTTCTCGATCCAGCAGGACCAGGCGAAAATCGCAGAGATTTTTCGAGTAAGTGCCAATGCACTCGAGAGAGAAATTCGTGATATCGGAAACATACACAGCTAAGTATTCCAGTTCCAGACAGCCCTGAGCCAAAGCAATCAATCCTCTTTGTGAAACAAGACCTTCCTCATCCTCCAATCCCTGCTCATCCGCACCTCGCTCAATTCTAAGCCTTTTCAGCTTCTTGCAATGACCAGCAAGTACTTCTAATCCTCTATCTCCAATCACGTTTCTAGTCTGCTCAGCCAAACATAATACAATATTAACCGTGAACACCTTTCATAAGTAACCAAAACTTGGGTTTGAAAGATGAATTTTACAACTAGTTTGAATAGTTTTCAAATGAATTTTGAAAGCACTCCTTTAAAAATATGGAAACTGAATGAATTTGATAAGCAAACCTCAAGCACTTCTAAGTTGGGGCATCTCTGAATCAAAGTACAATGGTCTTCCGTACGAAGCAGGGCATACAAGAGGTCCAACTTCTTGAGAATGTTTGCAAAAGGGAAAACTATTGGCATTTCATTCCTTCCCATGTATGTAAGACCCAAACTGCGGAGATTCTGGGGCAAGGCTACAGCGGCATACCTCTCTGGTAGATCATTGAAGGAACCTCCGCAAAATTCCTCCAAAACACCAGCAGCTCGAAAGAAGCCCACCAGATTCAGGATTTCACAATCACTAATTTTAACAGAAATTAAGGAACGGCAGTTTTTGGCTATGAGCTCAAGATCTTGAAATCTGACTTGGGCAAGATCTGTCATGTAAAAATTTAACGTCTCAAGGACGGTGTTGTTCGTAGCAAGTTCATGTAGCCATTCCCCATCGTTCTCTCTAATTGAGCTCTCCTCCAAAAACAAAGTTCTTAAATTCCTGAAACACCACAATAAAAACAACGAGAGTGATGAGAATATCTCGGAGGAAATCAGAATTTAATCAAAAAATGAACCAACCAACATATTCAGAACTCACTTTTCATTAATTCAACTTAATTTCTACACGGGAAACATGCTATTATTAGTTCAAGGATGTACTCAAATGCAATCTGACATCATTGCTGAATTTGCACTATCAATCCAAATTAAGGTTCATTTAAGATGAGTTAGAACAGTTGCCTTCTTTACCCACAAGCTCCCCAAAATGTCTTTCTTCAACAAGCTTGTAAGGCATCAAAATATCATATGAACGACCCAGAAAAAGTAAAAACTAGAAACCTAATAAAACTCCCAAAAATGACAATAATGATAAAAGAAATAACAATAGTAAGTAACCCAGAAAATGGAAAACCAAAACATTAATAGAAAGGATCGGGGGGTTTCAGCTTTCGTTCGTCATCGCTCATCGGGAACAAACAATTAATAGAAAGGATCCTCCTCTGAATCTCACAAGTTTCCGATGGCCAGAAATTTCAGCTTTTTAAGCAAAACAACGACAAAACCTCAAAAGACCAATCCCAGTAGGTAGAAAAATATCAAAGAAAATCTCCTTAGCACAGTGAAATCTCGATTAAAAAAAAAAAAACTTCAATATAGTTTTGAAATCAGATACCGGCAAGAGCGTCCGATATGGAATAGCCCATCGGTGGAGAATCCAGAACATTTATCGAGTTTGAGCGACTGAAGAACACGGCCCCGTGCACGCGCGAGAAGCTCCAGATCCGAATCCACGACAATCATACGCCGGAAGTGGAGAGACTTCAAGCAATTGAAAGAATCAGCAATCTCCCTTACCCAGGGGGT